AGTGCTCAGCCCGGGCGTGCGGGGAGCGCCGCGGTGTCCCTGGCTGAGGCGGTGCTGTGCGCTGCGGGCGTCACCTGGAGCTTGTCGAGCTGTTCCGAGGGACCCACTGTTACAGGTTCCCCTTGGATTTAATCGAGGGAAGCTTAAAACTTGAAATACACACCAGTCGGGAAGTGAAAATATGAGTGGGTGGCTCCGTGCTTAGCAGGGTGTAGAGGGAAAGGAAAGTACTGACTTGGTAAATCTGAAACTGCGACATCTGGGAAATCTGTAAGTGCCATAGGCGAAAGAGCTCAGGTGCAAGCCTTGAGTAAAAAGAACTGCATCTAATACATGCTTCTGATCTTTTATTGTCAAACCAGTTACTGAAAGATTTGGAAGAGGTTAAAGAGTTGCTTACGAAAGCCACGAGGAAGCGAATTCGTGATGTCCTGATGACAGAGAAACACAAGCTAGAGCTAGAAATCAAGAATCAGCCTGTACCGAAGCCAAAAGATGTGGCAGAGGAAGAAAAGTCATCACTGGGAGGGTACACAGTGAAAATAAACAATTACGGTAGGATTACTTTTCTGAACACTTACTAGACCTCAGGCACCTGAGAAGACAGGGTGGCCTGTGAGTTATAATTGCCATTTAGTGTTAAAGAGGAGCCTTCTTAAGTGTTTGTTTCACACTGGAGACCCCACTTTAAGAGCTACTACATGTTTATTATGCTGTCCCAACCACAGCATGTATTAATTCTGTTTGTGTGATAGTTAGTACTGGTGGGATGCATTAATGATCCCTGGTGTACTAGCTAGTATTTTTCTATTGCCTGTTGCTTAGCAGGAACGAAAGAGTGGGCTTTGGTTTCTCTGCTCGCCATGTAGGTGAAAGGAGAGGGAATTGCTCAAAATACATGCAGGGAGAAGGGGAAAAAGTGGGTCAAGGAAACTGCAGCAAAAGCAAACAGCTACCTCTGACTCCTCCTGCACAGAGTTGCTGCCCTTTTGCCTGAGCTGATAATGTGTTTTTTCTCAGAATTTGCAGGAATTAAGGAACAGGGCAACATGTGAAAACCTCCTTTTGCTCTCAAAATATTTCTGAATAATTCATGTCTTTCCCTTATCCCTCTGGAGATTGTTTCAATAAGGCATAGATCCTGGTCCTTGCTAGGGGACTTTGCGAGGGGAGTTGGAATGGAATGCATGAAGTTTATGGAGGAAAGCGAGAACTTAATCTCTTTTTTTCACTTGCAGGTTGGGATCAGTCAGATAAGTTTATTAAGATTTACATCTCTTTAAATGGAGTCCAGAAGCTTCCAGCTGAGAACGTGCAGGTGAATTTCACAGAGAGGTGAGTTCATCTTGTACCATGCCACAGGGGAAAGCATGGATGAAGAACATTATTTGAAATGCAGCAGTGTGTTGTGTTGAGTTCTTTTCTGGGTCAACCCTTACCTCCTCCATTTCCTTTTTTAATTTTTTAACACTTGAGTGATATTAGCTTTTAGTAGCACTTAGCACATACCCCTAAGTATAGCTCTCCTTAGAGGGTATCAAGGTATTTTCATTTTACAAATGCTTGTTGCACCTCATCATGCTTGACAGGATATGTAGTGTTAGCCCTGGTTTTTGATGGTGATAGAACTGAAGAGTAGATTAAGTTAATCAGCCTTTCCAAAGTTGTACGAGATCAGTGAGGTGGAAAGAACCCTAAAGATCTTGATTTATTGTGAAGCCTGGACAGGTCCTTTTAAGTCCTCAGTATTAAATTCAACTGAAGACTGAAAGCCCTTGGAAGAAAGTAATTCAGACCTGTTGACATGCTTTCCAAAGAAATGTGTCTGCTAAAGGGCTTTCAGGCATTGTTTTTGGTGGCAAGGCATAAATAGTTCAGCAATGACTGGAGTATTTGTGCCCTTCTTCCCCCACTTTCTGGTTCCAGGTCGTTCGATCTGCTAGTGAAGAATCTGAATGGGAAGAACTACACCATGACCTTCAACAACCTCCTGAAACCCATCTCTGTGGAAGGGAGCTCTAGAAAGGTCAGTGCACCTCGGCTGTTAGAGGTATCTATGTCCCTCACAAAGTACCATGTTCATTGCCTGACTCTAGCTCAAGATACTTGGTGCTAACCTTCAGTCACTCCCTTCTGTCTATAAAGTCTCTTCACTGTGAACATGATTCTTATTAATCTGTAATTGTCATAAGTGTGGAATTATTCTCTGGAATCTATGGGCTCTTATTTCAAAAGATCAGGTCTGGATATTGCATGCTTTTTTTAATAGCTCTCCAACAGGATTTCAGAAATAATTAAGCAGCAGATTCCACTAAGCATCCATTTGCATCCTTGTACTTTTAAATACCTCTGAGAAATTCTTTGCCATTTAAAGTTCTAAGAGACTTGTCAGCAGACTGAAATCTTGGGAAGCTTAAATAGGCTTAATACCCAAAGCAAAGTCTGAAACCTGCTCTGCCTCTGCAAGGTGTGTTGCTCCAGAACTGAACACTAGTAACATTTTACAGTTGATGACTGCAACTGGTGATAGTGTCCTTACTGTGCTACTTGTAGCACCTTTCTAGGTTTGGGGACGTGTCAAATGCCTCCTGTGCCTTCTGTGCAGTTGTGCTGCTGCACCTAGTGACATCAGATGTGAAGAAATGATGGTTCAATCTGAAATTGTCCTAAAACTAGAACAGTGTAAAATTAAAAACGAGGGTGATGCTCTGGTGATTTTTAACACAGCGTAAAAGCGAGCAGTGGTCACGTACTTGCTAAGCTAAAGCTCCAGCAGACTCTTGTCTGCTGTGGCATGCGGGAGTTCTTTGCGAAATTTAGGTCAGGGTTGCAATTAAACAGGCTTTGTTTGTAACTTGTAAGCATATTGCAACATTAAGCAATGCCCTAAAACTAATTTCTTATCCTTGGAGAAATAAATTGGGAGAGCTTCTGCCTGAACTTAGTATTCTTGGAGAAGTCTGCCATCCGTTCCCAGACCTGCATACTTCCAGCATCCCGAGAATCACTGAATGGTGTTTCTGCAGCACTGTATGTTCTTCTGTCACACTATTTAAATTGTCCATAACAAGGTTAATACTTTGTACCCTGAAGCTGAGTACATACTGTAATTTCTATATGCTACATAATAATTAATATCTGAGATAAATTTATTAGGAATTTGCAAGTAGTGGAAAGAGGTTTATGTTATAAGCTAACCTTAGTCATTGTGGTTGTGACTAGTATCCCTTTATGAAGCGTTCTAAATTGATGCCTTGCTGTTCACGGTACAGATAAAGACAGACACGGTCCTTGTGATGTGTAGGAAGAAGCGGGAGGAAAAATGGGAATGTCTCACTCAAGTGGAAAAGGAAAGCAAAGAGAAAGAGTAAGTTTCTTTTCAACCCTCCATCTCTTTTTGCATTTCATGTTCTCCAGGTGGCTTTAGGACTGCCAGGAGACTGGATCTATACTGTGCAGTCAGACTGTGAGAATTGCTGTTCTGGGGACAAGCCCTTAAGGTGTCTGAAAATCATTAGGTTGGGATTTTTTGATACTAGTAGGTCTGCAGCTACACTTTGAGTAGCTGTTTGCCACTCTTCTACTGTTTTATCACTAATGAAGGCTGAATCATAGGAAATATGATAGATAAGACCTGGAGTGAGAGTGCTAAAGGTAATCAACCAACTAGAGATTCATTTCTGTTTTGATGGCTGTATTCATTGCAAAAACTGCTCTAGTGAGGTTGACTTTTTTTTTTTAGGTTAAGTGTGTATTATACAGAAATACATTTATATTCCCTGCAGCTGTGCTGGTCAAAATAATTATTATTTTGTCACCTGTATGCGAAGCGTCTGCACAAAAATCCCAGCGTCCTTTTGGCAAAACAAGTATATATTTTTTTACGTAGATCATTATACAAAGTCTCAGCCTGTAATTTGTATCGCTTCAAGTGCTTGAGAGCAATCCTACAAGCAGCTTAGGCACTGGATATATGAGCATGGTAAATTACAGCAGGAAACATCTAGGGACAAGAAACATTTATATATATAATTTAGTA